CTCTTTAATCAGTCCTGGTTCAGTTCTTCGAGATCCAGTAGACTAATTTTGTGGTGAGAGCAGGCTGCTAGCCAATTGGTAGACATTAGTTTACATCAATGTCTAGGTCACTAATATTGGCCGTGAGAAAATATGAACAAGACTGATTCAACAACCAATCACAGAAGACTTAACGTGGGCAAATACGATTCCCAGATATATGGCTTAACTTTCTGAGAAACCAGTGACAAGCGGTACAACATAACCTTGAGCAAGAAACAACCAATCAGAAGACTGTGTTTGTCTGCTTGAATAAGCTATAATAATGTACATAAAATATATATAAATACGTGCTGATTTCCTTAATAAACGATCTGTTGCCTGGCCCTTGTCTTCTGTTGTTACAATTTCATACTTTCAACGTTAGAAAATCAAATCTTTGAGATGATTCAAAAACGACTATGGGAGCAGTTTGAAAACTATCAACTATTAACAACTCGACACTTGAGAAAGAGTTGAGTGTTACATTTTGCTAGTAAAAACAACCATCATCAAACTATACACCATAAAATATATATAGAACTGGCTGGAGGAACGAAACTGATTAAAGAATGTAAAATGAATATTTCAAGTTTTTTTTATAATGTCCTCGGAGAAGTTGCTTTTGAAAAATCTCCTTCTTAAGATTAACTGGGGGAAAAAGTTCCACATCATCATTCATTGGTTGCATCACTGATGCAATTGACTATGTAACAAGGAAACAATATAATGTTTACGCTTTCTTCCTCTTTTCACCACTAATCAGTTTTAATGAATGCAGTGTACCCGGAATAGCACCATCCTACATATTATACTCTTCTCATTATGGCTCTTATTTGTCTAATTTACAAATGACTGAATTACAAGAGATGAGTTGATAATGACTGTAGATATTAACTCTAATGAATCATATTGGATTCAAATTCCGCCTTATTTGCGCCTTTATAATAGCATTAAATATATAAATACCATGAAACTGAGTACCTTCATCATTCTTATTCATCATGTAAGCATGAGTGAACCAGTTAAAATAACTTTTAGACACTATCGCAAACTTGGGTTGATAAGCATTGAAGCACAAGGAGGTTGTTTAAGAGATCTGTTGTTTTTTCCTAAAACTGAATACTATACAAAGGGTTTTTTATAGATGACAGGAAATATTAGATTCACGTTCCTGGAAAAGGTTTACAAACAAGTTGATGGTGTTGCGATGGGAAGCCCTCTGGGGCCCTTGTAAGCAGACATATTCATGTCAATATTAGAGAAACAAATGAAAGGTATGCTGGGAGAATTTATGCTGTATAAACATTATGTAGATGATACTCTCATTATTGGCAATAATAGTAAATCTATTGAAAACTTCATCACCCTATTTAATCATATGCATCAAAATATTCGAGTGATCTCCGAACTAGAATCGAATAACAAACTCGGTTTCCTGGATATTGCTATGACTAGGAGAGATGATGGAACGATTCAGCGCTCTATTTTTCGTAAACAGACGTGGAATGGACAATATCTTCATTTTACCAGTTTTGTTCCTATCCAGTATAAACGTTCCCTAGTGAAATGTTTGTTCTCAAGGGCCGAAAAATATGCACGAGTGACACACTGAGGGATGAGTTTCGGCATATACATTCAGTTTTATTAGTTAATGGTTATCCGGAGAGCTTTATCACTTGTCACAGTAAGGATAGACTACATCTAGAAAAGACAGCTTCTGTACCAAAGAAAGCTATCTTCATTAACCCACCATCCAAGGGGGACCAGATTATGCAGTTGACAACTTAAAGACTTCGGTCAGCTATCAAACGCACATTCTAAGGCGCCTCATCTCTTTTTCTCACTTGCTGAACATTTTCGATCCCTGTACCTACGATTAAAGGACGAAATTCTGTCGACTCTACTTCAAACTGTATCTTCAAGTTCACCTGCAGCTGCGGTGACACCTATATAGGTAGAAGCAACAGAATGTTCCAATGTCGTCGAAAAGAACACGTTCCAAAATGGCTACTAAATCATATCGAAATCCTAACGCGATTAATCTAATAGAAATCCAGCATCATCCATTGCAAAACACTTAATAATGTCTGGTCACAAAGTCAATGTCAATGACTGCTTCACAATTATTTCACCACATCACTCTAATTCAAGGTTGGTTATTGAAGGTGATGGAAGCACTTTGGATTAATCACATACAGCCTAAACTGTGTGTACAAAAATCAATAGACTTCAATCTTTGCCTACCCTGGACTACATGACCTATCTAAATATGATTGGTCATTAGTATGTACTTTTGTTTTTATTTAACTGAATAATTTTCATGATCTTTATTTTATCACTGTTAACCATGTTAGTTGTAAAGCGGTTGTAAAGAAACTACGAAATGACGATATCATCTCGCGAAATTTGTCTTCTTAATGCCTTATTCAGAACTAGGATGCTTCTTTTTTTGTTTATACACCAAATTTATGTTTGGAGAAGAAGTAACTAAATGATGAAAAACTTCAATGAATTAAATAAGCGACTGAATGGATATACTACTTATATTTAATGCGTTTATTTCTTTAATAAATGACTACAAATTCTAACCAAAGCAACTTTTAAACACCATCATTCACATACTTTCTATCCACATTTTAAACTTGAGTAAACAATAGAAATAATCAGTGATTTGCTACCGATGGGGTATTCATTCGATAGTTTTCATACCTTATGCTGTTAAGTAAATACTGCTTCTGTTATATCTTAATTTGGTTGTCAACGTTCAGGCAAACATATATGGTGGGTTTTTTGACGGATATGTTTACCACAATGAGTAACATAAGACAACTGGAAGTTTTAACAATATTTATCGAATATGATTTTATCTTACAGTTTAGTGTCCGTGTTACATAAATGTGAGATGTTGACAGGATTTTGAAATATCTTAAACGTTGTATAACACACATCAAGTGTTTGGGAGAATAATTAAATTATTGAAAGAACTATTGTTCAATAATGTGATCAGGTCAACAGCGATTCAATAAAGGATTTTCATTTTTTGTAATTCGTGGAATAGTATTTCAAAACTGCTTCAGAGGGATAGGATAATGAATTTCATTTCGTACTTCCTATTTCTTATCCTATTTCTGCTCACTTCGTTACTTAACCTTCTTTTTAGCCTTAGTTAACTTTGAAAATCCACCTACTTTTGTTATACTTTATTTTAAAAAAACACTTACAAAAAGTAGCATTGTGTCAATCATATAACAAACTTTCGGCGAATAACCATTCTAAAATTCGAAACAGTTATACCCATGGGACTGCAGACTATTGTAGTTTGTCTAGAACGTTATTCAAGTGTTAATAATTTAGTGTCTCTAACCATTTCGCAATATTAACTATGAATTTTTGAAATTCATTTTTAACTGCAGTGTCACTGTTAAACATGCCCCAATTAATGTACAAACATATGAGCAAATGACAGCAGCATCAGTAAAGGCCTTCTGGATTTATGTGAATATCTACGGAACAACAATTATAATTCTACCAAGAGGTTTCAGCAAGCTTTCATTTATGCTGCAACCTGTGGAAATCCCAAAAAGTTAATGAATTTAATAGTACAAGCAACTCTGCTTAGAGTTTATTTAGAAGTTTCAAAATAACATAAAATTTCCAGCAAAGTAGGAAAATCAATTTAAATTATTCAAGTGTTGGTTTGCAGAGAGTTGATTGGTTTAGAGAACCATAAGAAAACCTGTGAGCACCGGACAGCTATTCACTCCTAGTTTGGAAATCTTCAGAAGGAAGAAGTCAGTGGGGTTCGAACTCCAATGGAGATTTCCAAACTAGGACTGAGTAGCTGAGCTGTCTAGTACTCACAGATTTTTGATTGATGTCAGCTCATAGTCAGGTCCTGAAAGCAATTTAAATTATATTCTAATGCTTTATGAATTAAATATTAATAAGCCTAGAACAAGATGTCAGATCGAATTCACTGTGAAAATCAAAATCCATCATGTGTAGTAATACTCACACAAAACGGGTTTACTTTTGCTTACTATTTTAGGTGAGAAATATTCTTATGGATAGAATCTTCAGACTATAACAGGGCTCTCTTGCCGATAGCTTCCAGTTGATTCAGAGTGCACTGCAGTGACCAGCTGTCTAGCTTAGTGACCACATTTAGACTTGAATGATGGATACAGGTCACCGGCAACACTAGACACGCGACACTTGCTAATTGCTAATGTCCAATCAAGGAAAATCAGCATGTTTGAAGTCACCACTATTTACTTTTCCTTGTAACCTTATTAATAAATAACCTTAAATAAACGTAGTTTTGTATTTACTTTTCGTCTGTAGATTGGAACTTTGATTCAAATGTTTAAGTTATACGTGATTACAAAAATTTGAAAACACTTATCTTAATTTAATCAGTCTACTAAAAATTACCAAGATTACTGTAGCATATCAGAATATAATTTAGCGAAATACGTGTTGTCGTGACTTAAGTCTATGCAGTCATGAAACACTACTCAAACATCAAACGGAGACCATCAATCCATGTTTAGTAAATTGAACCAAAGTTAAATACCTTCAAGAGGTTCAATTCACTCATTTTGAATAACAGGAAAAATTCTCACGAACAACTTTGTTTTGATAGTCTAAATACACGCGAATTAAGTTACATAATTTTATAAAGATGCACTGTATATCCTGTTTCAAACGACTTATATTCTCTATGTAATTTCTTATGAAAGAAGGAATGGAAAAAACAGTAAAAATCATGTGATCAAATCACGTGTCACAAAGTGTACGTGCTGAATAGTGAACAGACTTGCTATACCCTATCGTAAAAAGGGTTGCGTCTCACTAGCGTATGGTTTATACTTTTGCATTTCAGAAACTGTAAAAAAGATGTCTGTCAATATGAGACTAACGACTAACGGTAGAGTATACTAAGAATAAAAATTTGTCACTTGAAAATCGCTAAACACTTACTGCACTCTTCCTATGTTGGTATTTTGATCACTTATGGCTGAATGCATTACTGATGCATGCTGTTTGTTCACAACACCCGCGCCTTCAAGAAATCTCTGGCCACTGCCGTTCCGAGTCCCATCCTCTTGAATATTATCCTCGCTGATTAGTTGCCCGTCAGGATGTTGGTTTCTAGGTTTTCCGTAGTGACCTGTACTGTCCACGTTTACATCAAGTGTGCCATATCGTCCTTGTAATTCTTCAGCTAACATCTCTGTGGTAGCCTTTTCATGCTTCAAAAATAAGGTTTAGAGTAAGTAAACATGTCACCATAGAGTATGCTAACTTAAAAGCAACAGATGCATAACTATATTTCTAAGCAACTAATTCTAACAAACAAAAATATGGAAAAAAGATGTCATCTGATTTTAAGCTTTGTACTGAGTGTTTTTCTGCAAAAACACAGACATCAGCAAGAGAACTAGATCAAACCAAAAAACAAAGGTCAACTTCTACTTATTCTGAAACTTCACCAGCATATATCAAATAAATTTTGAGAAATCAAACATGTCACCTAGAATTCCTCAATAACTGCTCTATTGATATGTGATGACTAGTAATATATTGATATGTGACCTTATATTGTTATCGAACGCTTTTATTGACGCTAATTCAAACTAATTCCATGTATACCTGCTTCCTTATAAAAATCTTACTTTAGAGCAGATCTCTCTGTGATCTCATATGATTGAGGAAAAAGTGTTTGATGGATGAATCATTTAAATGGACAAGTCTAGTCTTCGTTGACACATTCACGTAACATCTGAAACGGGTACAACGAAAAATATTATTTTTCAAGAGTTTGTTTGTGGGGCTTTGATTTGCTTCAAGTTTGAACACGGATTGTTATAAGAATTCAAGGGTCAGTGATTCGGGTCCCAGTGGCTAGACTGTCTACGAACTTGCGTTGCAACCGGAAGTTCCTGGGTTCGCAACCTGATCGCTGAGCACTTCTGATGTCTCCCAAAATCGGGCGAAACAGCTGTTCAGTACTCCCTGTCTTTCAGTGACTCTTTAAATGAGTTGAATCCTTGATAAAACTTGAAAGGTATTGCTGATGAGGGAGGCTTATCATACATACAGATGAAAAAACGTTTGCGTAATTTTCATCCTAAACGTAGATTATTGGTAAATTTATTATAAGAAACCAATGCAGTGAAACTCGAATCTTAAAGGACTTGACTTTTAGTTTACAAATGATGAAATGACGGCATTGAATATATAGCCCGACTCATAAAACTGAGGAAACGTTACCACTTTTCTGAAATTTATGCGCTACCCTAAATACCCATGAATTTCTCACTAAATACCTCTCAGGATACTATTCGTTCAGTAACAAAATGTGAGTACAAGGATAAAACCTAGCATTCTGGTAGCGCATAATTCCACAATGGATAAAATTTATTTTAATAAAGTCACACAGTGTCATACAGTAATATTTACCGATGATGTTTCAAGCACAGTTTATTTATTCACACAACTTTTGTGTGAGGACCTTGATATTGATTATGAGCAATAAATTGTGCTCAAAACGTCATCAGTAAAAATTAGTGTATGAATACTGAACAAACAGTACTCTTTTAGATAAATTCACCATCAGGCTCTACATTTATACATACATTATAGTGAATGAATGAATTAGTGTTATGAACGACATTAATGTTGCTGTTTAAATAACATCGAATCAATAATATTGATAGGATACAGCTCAATAGCATCAACATAAAATAAGCTGAATGTCAGAAGAATTAGGAAAGATAATATTACAAATTCATGAGTTTATAGCTTCTACTGAAAGCCAGGACATTAGTAGGGGCTGAACTTGCTTCTTTTGGACACAGAGTGCTGGTTGTTTGAGGCGAATCGCAATAGCCTCTGCTGTTTGGAGCCTGCGATGCTTCGATGTTTTTGGTAATTTATTTGGCACCCGGTATAATATGGAGAAGGATTCTTCTACGCTGGCTTTGTGTCCTGTTCGCACCAGATGGTCCAATATCGAGCTGTTAATAGTTTTCACTACACCTTTACTTAGCCATGCTGGGAGATGTTCCCGAGCGAGCACGAAAAATCAAGTTCCTAGAGCAACGGCCAATATAACTGGCTCCACAAGCGCAGTTGAATTGATAGATACAATTAGAAGTGGCTAGTCTAGGTACTTCATCTTTCAGTCGAGGAATCACCATCGGTCGTGTAGAGGATAATACTGTATGACACTGACTTTATTAAAATAAATTTTATCCGCAATTGATAGTGTTCTATGAGCTCCTTGGTTTAATTGCGGAGCTTTCATCGTCTTTCTGGACGACATCTTCCGCGCAGTATTTAGGAGCTTAGAGAACACTATCAGTTGCAAATCATCCACCTGAGTTACAAAACTTTTCTACTCTAAATTTTATTCATAATGAAAATAGGAGTACTTTGAAAGAAAATCCTTTTACTGTTTTGTTTGATGTATAAAACGGAACAAAACATACCAGTCACAAGTTTCTCTTACTAGAAGTTATTCATTTGTAAATTTTGTCCCTCTTTATAAAACTAATCGAAACACTTATTTCAAATAAAAACACATTCTAGAGTCAACTTCAATTCTACAAACAAATTCCTATGCAGTTACCATATCAACTATGTAAACACTGAATGAAAAAGATCATTTTGCCTTTCACTTACTTTCACTTGTAAATCCCTAGAACTATTTCTAATACATCTAATAACTTTTTGACTTTTGGAAGGAACCGCTTCAGTGTTTATTTATATGCACGTCAAACAAGTAAAATAATGATTCTCAGATAGGAGTTTTCTCATGTTAATCGTTAACCACTTCAAACTCAATAGTTTATCCTGAAGGTATGAATAATCGTGGACACGTTTTCATTCTACGGCTAAATGCTATCAGTAATGAAATGATCCTTGATCTCTATGGCTGTGAGACCTGGCCATTGAGAGTGGAAGACATGAAAACGCCAGCTAGCTATCTTTGATCATATGCGCCTGCGCTCTATCTCCCGTGTGAAGTGGCATAATAAGGTGAGCAATATTGAGGTTAGGAGTCGAGTGCTAGGTATATGAGAGGGGAAATCAGTCGACGAGGTTGTGAAATTACATCGACTGAGATGGTTAGGACATGTGTTACGTATGCCTAGTCATCGCCTTCCTCAACGGGCAATGTTAGCTGACATAGGGTCAGGCTGGAAAAAGCTAGTGGAGGTTAAACCAAAACATGGATTCACCAGTCAATGGAATCCACAACAGTTAGTCTAGGCCACAAAGGAAGGTGTAGACTTCCTCTGGTTGGGGTCTTCGGGATGGTAAAAACAAATGATTGGAAACAGTTGGTGACATGGCTCAAAATCGTTTCCAGTGGCGCAGATACACCCACTCCTTGTGACCTATGATTTCCAATGAAACTGCATTGTTCTTCGTTATTACTAATCCTTTGTCTCACACCTCTGTTTACTGTCGCTATTATGCATTTCTTCTACCTTCTTCTCTTGCTTTGTGTGCTACATGGAGGGAGTGTGGCGACTTGAACTACCGCACATCGGTGCAAAGTTCTATGTCAAAACAGACAGACAGACAGATCCTTAATCTGTGAAAAATGTATTAGTAGTAATCATTTTATAAGCATTTACCAGCGTGTTTTGAGTGCTGAATCTGTTTTCAACCGTTTATAAACTAAACGTCATCACAATTAATACGATCTACCTATTGCCTATTATTTTGCTTTACATTAACCACCTACCTATTTTAAGAGTATATTAACCCATTTCGCAATAGCTGATTCATTTTATGTTATAAATTGTAACACAACTTTGCATTCTCGGGTTTTAATATCACTGATTTTGCTTAGACCGATAACTTTGTCAGAACAAGAAGCATTTCACTATGTGAATTATTTCTACAGTTGCTTTGGATATCCACAATCCTAACATACCCTGTATTTCATACTGTTCATAGTAGTGAAGACACGTCGGTGGCACAGTGTTTAGGACTCTCTCTCCGACCATGCATATGGTCCAAGGCTCGATCCCAGGCTGATGCACACCTGATATTAATGGTCGGCCTGTTAAATTTGGGCTACCGATATCACATGCTAAAAATTCCATACTTGTACCAAAAATACGGTGTGGAATCAAGCTAATAAAATTAATTAAAAATTGAATTAGTCTAGCTATTTCATGCTGTAACGTTATTAAAGCTGTCCAACTGTATTAATAATCATTATCAAGTTACAACACCTTGATTAAGTTTTTTATTAGTGCAAGTGTATCTTATATAAGCAGTACTGCTTAGGAAAAAAAGACGCTGTGAAATGTTAACATATTTTTTTCATCACTTAATATTAACGCCGAACCGTATACATATTCTAATCATTATAAGACTGACTTACTTGAATCAACTTTATTTCATTATTGATAGCATCCAGTTGACTTTTCAACATGTATGCTAGGGATTGAGGATCGCTTGCTGGATCATTTTCACCCTCCTGAATATTACTACGAGATGTGGAATTCGGCAAAGGTTGTTTCATATTCATTAAATTTACAATTTCATTCAATGACATTTGATTCTCTGTATCTGTGGGGTATTGTGATGTTGTATTCAAGTTTAAATTTTGTCGAATAAGTAAATCTTGTAGTTCATTAGGTGAATAAAATTCTTCTAAATTAGTATTGTTTGTAGTATTCATGGTTGTATTAACAAATGATGGACTATTTACATCAAGTTGTGCCTGATCCTGCATTATGAACAAGAAAGTAATTTTTGAAAATGTCATATTATGCTCACGTAAATTTACCGGCTTGATTATTTCATTAAATCTTTTGATTGTCAGATTACTAGCTTGCTAGTTTTCTAGCCGGTCCCAAGCCCGGATAAAGAGAGAGGGTTGGGGCGTGGTGCTAGCAACCCCAACGCCGTAAAACTCAACCAAATCGCTACAGAAACTTCAACGAATAAATATATTAAAAATTCTAAAAACATAAACAATAGCCTTATTTTTCGCTGGAATCGGGGAAGTGAAATGACGCAGGCTGGTGAAAGCCTTCGGGAAGCCAGTCAGCCGATGTGCATTCTTTCAACAGAAGCAAACGTAAGGATGGGTACCTGGAATGTTCGTACAATGTACGAAACTGGAAAGGCTGCCCAGATAGCCGCTGAAATGGGAAGGTAGAGAATAGAAGTGTTTCGTCACTCAGCATCAACAACGAAATTCGAATTTTCAATACAAACGTAAAGTCAGTTCTTCTATACGGATCAGAAACTTGGTGGGTCACAAAGAATATTTCCAAAAGGTTGCAGACCTTTATTAACAACTGTCTTCGCTCTATACTGAAGATCAGATGGCCGAAAAGAATCACCAACAAGGAATTATGGGAACAAACAAAGCAAGAACCAATCGCCCAACAAATATCCAGGAGTAAGTGGAAATGGATTGGAGACTCGCTGAGGAGGCCGCTGGTTGACATCGCGCGTCAGGCCATTGCTCAAGTGGAACCCGAAAGGGAAGCGGTGAGTGGGACGTCAGTGCAAGGGTGACATGGAGGAGATCGTGTGAAGAGGAGTTGAAACAGTATGGACTAACATGGATGCAGGTGAAAAGTACAGCAGAAGACAGAAGCAAATGGAGACGTGCAGTTGAAGCCCTATGTTCCACCAGGAACCCAAGGGAGCAAAAATAATAATAAAATATTCCAGCTTGATAATTTCATTAAATCTTTTGATTGTCAGGTTTTATAAGACTCTACATTATAACACATTTGTCTAGTTGAATCCCCACTTTCAACTTGTTGACTTTGTTAATAATATTGATCTTGACAACTAAACAAGAAGAATAATTTTATATACGTATTTCTTGTGCATTATACGTTACGTGTAGTTTTAATACACTTTGTAAATCATATGCAGCTCCACAATAATTAGTATTATAGTTTATTGATTCTAATTAAGAATAGTTTAAGATTTGAGGCCAGCGACTCATATCATTTGGTTACTTCATTTTCTATTCAGATCACCACCATTTCATCGTGCTTTAATTACCTGAACAAGTCTATGAGACGCAATAAGTACATACACCGACTTTTCAATAGGTTGAAGTCTACAACAATGTGTTTTCCAAAGATACGATAGAAAAATATCACCTGGGTCTCGAGCATGCTTCAGGTGGAACAGTACCGCTCCAAATAACATATGAATTATTTTCTTACTAAAAGATTATATATGCGTCGGTGGCACAGTGGTTAGGACGCTTGCCGACCATGCATATGGTCCGGGGTTCGATCCCCGGCCGACCCACTCCTTTACCTCGCTAAGCCAGAAATAATACTGGTAAGGAGAAAAGGTTGGGCATGAGGCTAGCCCCCCCCTATCCTGTAAAAATAAACACTGCTACAAAAACTTCAAGCTTGTAGCTTGAAGCCCTATGTTCCACTGGGAACGTGAAGGAAAAATTATTGAAAGATTCTATGCAAGGAGTCAATATTTTTATACAACAATGACAGTCAAGAAGTCTGTAGTGTATTTAAACGTGTTATTATAAGAGATAATGAAATACTTAGAATCTTACATCGCTGTATGACGCGGAATTCTTTATTTCAGTAATATAGAACATTAATAAATTCAAAGAGGAATAAATTTTTTCTTATTTTCATATTGATTTGAGTAAAATTCACAGCTTGCATAGTAATTACCTTTTGGGACAATGTTATGGTCAATTTACGACAGTCAGACAGTTATTCTTCTTCTGCTAAGATAATAAAATCATATCCAATAACACTTACTGAATTATTTGCCTGTGATGTGATCCACGCATTTGTTATTAACCTTGAAATTAAATCTATAGGAGTGTTTTGTTCAATGCCAAGCTGTTGATCTCTTATACTTGTAGGACATGCTGTCACTGAATGAAAGATTGAACAACAGTATTGGAATATGTATAAGCGACACAATGTTAAAAATAGTCTTATGTTTGATTATAATTTTAATTAATTTTGCATAAAGTTACATTTTTAAATCATCATTTTCTTAGCAAATTACTCAATGCATCAGAGTTACATATGAAGAAATTTGAAGTCTGCTTGTTTTAATCCAATTTGTTCTGTTTAAGAAGAGTTAAAACAGCTTTACTGATATACAGGTGTAACAACAGAAGACAAGGGCCGGAAACAGATCCTTTCATTACGGAAATCAGCACGTATTTATATATATTTCACGTACATTATTATCGCTTTATTCAACCAGACAAACACAGTCTTCTAATTGGTTGTTTCTGGTTTCTCGGAAAGTTAAGCCGTATATCTGGGAATCGTATTTGCCCACGTTAAGTCTTCTGCGATTGGTTGTTGAATCAGCCAACCAGTTGTTCATATTTTCTCACGGCCAATATTAGTGACCTAGACATTGACGTAAATTAATGTCTACCAATTTGTTAGCAGCCTGCTCTCACCTCACAGGAATCGCAGCGATGCAACGGAGATAGTTTTATTTTTTTAAATCATCATTTTGATCCGTTTCAATCTATTTTAAGCACATATATATATATATATATATATAGAGAGAGAGAGAGAGAGAGGAGTTGACTTTCCTAATTAAAATGGGTATGGTAATGTAAGTCACCCAACTCTTTACCCAAGCACAAAAAATTAATATTTATAAATATCAACGAATCTCTAACAATATTGCTGAGTTTCAGTGGTATTACATCAACCAGGCTGAACTCTCAACGCAAATCATTTCATCTTACATTGTGGTGTAATTGGAGAATAGTGCATACAAGTGCTGGGTTATAGAGATTGATTACATTCAAATGTGATCATGAGGTGAAATTAGTTAAGAACCACTGAAAACAAAGGAGAACTGAATGGCTGTTTTGTCTTAGTCTTGGACTCTTCAGTGGTAAGGGTTGGTAAACCTATCAGAAATAGAACTCAGGATACTCAATATATAAGGTGAGCGAGCTAAGTGACTAAAAGTGAAATATATCTTGATATTACAATTCCTAGTGCTTATTAATAGAGTTTGTTTCTCGATTTGAAAAACAATGAGCTTTTTTTAAACTGGTATTTTAACTTGTAGTCACAGTGTGAAGGATAGTTCTCAATTTATTCCGTCTACAACTGACCTAAATCATATATTTTTCAGGTGAGACCAAATTAACTTAAGTTCTTGTTCAGTAAGCTACATGTTTCGTCTAAGTCTGAAGGCTCGATTAACTTTAAGAAGCATACAATTGAACTGTAACTTACTCGAGTTTTGGATAGATATTTCAGCATTCTGTTGTTGTTGTTGCTGTTGTTGAAGTCGTTCTATATTGGCTTTTTCTGTTGATGCTCTGGCCAGTGCCATCATTGCAGCCTGAGCTGCTGATGTTGATGTATGAGCAGCAGCAAGTTGAGCTTGTGAATGACGGAAAGCTGCTGCTAGCTCTGATAACTGTTGCCTTAACAAAACCGATTCAGTTATATTAGCTTGACGTTCTCTAATAGAAGACTCTAAGGCTCTTTTTGTTTGCTCGATTTGGTTGTTTAATTCTTGTTTTTGCTCTAGGGCCGACATACGTTCTTGCAAATGACTTTGTAGACGTTCATTGGATTCTTGTAGCAGTTTATCAACCTAAGAGAATATTAAACACATTTATGACAATGGTTATTTAGAAAACAGTAGACTGAGTAAGAAAACTACTACTTTTACAATTACTTTCACATCAACAACTTTACACTAGTACAAAGCAATATATCTAACTTATAAGTATCAAGCGCTAATATGTTGAATAATAAGATAGATTAAATGCCCTCCATTTTGTATATGGCATTTAAAGTAACCACGAAAATCAAGACAGTCGTACAGTTAGCAACAGTTAAAAAGTGAAAAATATGGATGATAGATACATAAATATGTCTAGTTCGTAACTACCAATTATTACGTAATTGCACTTGTAGACAAGCACGGGAAGTGAAAATGCTAAGGCACTTGCAGTAAATACTAGAAAATGAAAACGAACTGTAAAATGGAAAGGTCATTTTAACAAAGTTTTACAGTACTGCGTATATTTTATAATAGGTGAAAATAAAGCCAGGAGTTGCACGAGTTTCTTCTGAACACAAACCTTTGAAAGTCTGGTGGTTTTTGTCATATAATTTCAAAGTTAACTGAGAAGAATATGAATGGGGTTAGATGAAATACATTGAATATATTCAAAAGCTACACCACTATTGTTTTGATGCCTTGTATCAACAAGACCAGCAAAAATAAACAGTGCCCGCTAGTCATTTGCTTTAACTTTGGTGGAAACTTGAAGGTGAACTTGCCCAGTGGGTGTAATCAGCCCTCAGCTGTTTAATTTTTTCGAGGTGACTTTGAATAAAGATTCATGCTTTAGTGATTTCATCTGTGAATCTGATACTATCCTAAAACCATAAAGTCTTCACTGATCATTCTCTTCTTTTGATATAAAGCTGAAATACATGAATTAATATCTCTTTTCACACTTAAAGTCTTACCACACTTGCTCTTTGGTTGTTGTTTAGCCGTGAAGTTTTTTTCGGGGCCTCGTTTAGAAAAGATATTACTCATATTTTCTGTTTACAATTTAGAGTGCATAACTTTTCATTGAAAGCCTTACCAACCCATGATGCGTTAGATTGAAACTTTGTCTATCGACCGTGTGTGAAGTCGATATCGCATTCTGGATTAGCTAAGGCACCTAATACATAACGTATCACTTTAACACTAGACAGATACATCTGACTGTCACAGGTTATCCTACAAATATTCACACTAGCTTATTTCTTATTACTTATATGATAAGTTTCACTAGACTTTGTAATGTTTATACAAAAGTGTCACTTTTACAAACTGCCAATCTGACAGACAGCACGTACCCGAATTTCGATTAATATTTCTTTTTGTTGTTTGGTTGAGTAGTCATATGACACTCCAATGAATGTGTACACAGAAGTACTCACCAGAAGTTTTAATTTCTGAAAATCAATCAATACCTTTAAGCGCCTAATAGCAAGAAGATAGTTGAGGTACCACTGAACCATTTAATTTATAATCTGAACAATTTCTATGGTCACATGAGAATGTCACTGAAGTTAGCGAACTATCTGAAAGTACCGGAGATCCCATTATTTCATGCCTATTGGTTATCATAAATTATCTTTATTTAAAATACAAAATGATTCAATGCAAAGACCAAGGCACTGGTAAATGTGTTCTCAGTCTGGTTGTACAAATTTTTTTTCCTTCACGTTCCTAGTGGAACATAGGGCCTCAAGCTAGGAGCCTGAAGTTTCTGTAGCAGTGTTTATTTTAAAAGATGAGGTTGCTAGCTTCATGACCAACCTTTCCTCTTTACTAGCATTATTTCTGGCTTAATGAGGTAAAGGAGTGCATTAGCCGGGGATCGAACCCCGAACCATATGCATGGTCGGCAAGCGTCCTAACCGCCGTGCCACCGAAGCGTACAAATTATTGCTCGAGTATTAAGTGACGAAATCGATAATTTGAAGGTACACTTATGCGAATTAATTGCTAATTTTAAGATATCAGAATTTCTCCCTGTTGACTGTGAAAAAACTGACAAAATCATAAAATCTGAAAAACTGAATTATTCTTCGTTACCCTTTCTTTTTTAGCGCTTCTTTTAGTTTGCTTCTGCACGTCTAGATGTCGCTGACTGCTGAATATAAAACACACATCAACATTTTTCTATTGATGTTTTTTCTCTTTGTCCTTCCAAAATGTAAAACTAAAGATTAATTATGGTTTCCGTTTAATCTTGATAGGATTTTATTTACCGTTCATTATTGTTTTGTTTTGTTTTGGAAAATTAGATTTCCCCCTTTCTATCAAAGTCATCTGACAAGAAATTTTTTTAAGGAATTTTCAAAAGAATGAAATAGCGAAATCTACAGATGTCAATCGATAAACCATTTCCCGTCCTTTGTAATCATTTCAGTAACTGATATAAAGAAATGTAAGCCGTATCATCTTTTGAATTTCAAGGTACAATTTTCGCATACAAGTAAGACTATATATATGCATCGCATGACCTAAAGACTAGACGTAGTTGCCTCATAGTGTGGACGTTGAATTTTTACTGCCCGACTGGATCTGTTTGCATTGGATCATTATTGTAACCAGCCATTTTTTAAAGGCTATCTTTAGAAATGTTAACATGAAACCCACAAAGTTGTCGGGGATTTATTTAGTAGATGATGTTGGTTTTATCTGCTTTCGTTGTTGAGTTTTTTGGTTGGCATAGAGCTGAGTGATGTGATTTTTGTTTGGTTATTGTGAGATGTCGATTCCTAATGGTCTGAAGAGTCCTGCAGTGATTTCTGAGATGTCCTTTATATATAAGGAACATTTATTTATATATAAAGAATGTTAGAGAATTTTTAGAAGCCTGGTATTCCAGTGAATCATCAAACAATAGATACATCGAGATCGACAAAATTAACCCACTGATAGATAAGAAGGAAATCTCACACACAAAGGGTCAAAGTTCAAGTCAAGGAAACAACCAGTACCGATACAAGTAGCCTAGAAGGTGTGAAAACACACAAAAACAACCAATCACTTCCGAGGTCACCAGGAGAGATGACTAACAGACTCGTGGGGAAATCTAAAAGCTCACTTCAAATTGAAGTATTCGCTGAAGATGTCGCTTAGTAGGGCAATGCAAGCTTCGTAAATAAAGTGTCCAGTTCAGAGAACACAACCACATCAAAAACACTTCACTTTACACACATGATTTAACATTTGATGTATGCTAAATAAGTGTAGAGATGCTTCCAGAAACTTTGACATCACAGAATTTTATCAGCAAAGACATCTTTGATCTGGGTGACAGTAAACCAGAATAACGAAAAGTGGAGATTACATTGTTTTAAAACCAAACTTAGCAAATACCGTTATAAAAAGCCAATATTCATTCAACTTCTGTTTAATGATAGCACCTGCAAAACTTTAGTGACCGAGATGAAACACACTGTACACAAAAGGATAGGTAACTCAATATTTATTAAAAAAAAAATACAGATTATCTCACAATCAGCACTGAATTAAAACACAAAAAGTAAGATATACAAACCTACCGTTCCAGATAAACGTGTTATATGCTCCTCATTTACAATTTCTCGTTCTTTAGCACGAGCCAACTCTTGCCTGACTTCGTCAATTTCGTCTGTTAATTCTTTCACTCTATCTTCATAAGAATTCCAGTCTTGTTGTGAAATATTTCTTAAGTGACTATAGCTTTTCAAAGATATCTCGTTATATCTTATTCTCTTTATAATTCTATTCTCTTGAGTACTGGCTGAATCATTTTCTTGTTCTGTTTCACCTTCGGATGTTTGCTTATTCATTAATTCTGGACCACTTTCATCAGAATATAACTGTTCTTCATTCTCTTCAATTCCATCATCGTCTTCTTGAATGTATTTATTTTTCGAAGATGAATTCATCAGAAGGTTATTTGAAATAGATCGACTTCTCAAAAGATCATCTTCCACAGAATCAAGTTTAGTTTGGAGTGATCGAACTTTTTCTTCTTGCTGAAAAAGAAAATAGGAACATTTAATCATTGTAGAATCTAGTAGACCAACAGATTCATGCTACCATGAGCCTATTAACAATTTCTAGTGTTATTAAAGTCTGACGCCTAGAGTGATTTCAAGTCTATATACCATGAAGCAAAGTTAGTAGTCTCAGTCTCGTATACGTACTCCTAAATACATACGGTTAAGATGGTGTTTTGAACTTGTAGACAATTCATAAACGTGAGCCTAATCACTTCCAACAAATCTCCATTTTTTGGTGACTTATCAACTGAAAAGTGCGTCGGTGGCACAGCGGCTAGGACGCTTGCCGACCATGCACATGGTCCGGGGTTCGATCCCGGCTAATGCACTCCTTTACCTCATTAAGCCAGAAATAATGCTGGTAAAGAGGAAAGGTTGGCATGAAGCTAGCAACCCCATCCTGTAAAATAAACACTGCTACAGAAACTTCAAGCCATTAGCTTGAGACGCTATGTTCCACTGGGAACGTGAAGGAAAAAAAGAAAAAAGATAGTATCAACTTAAAAATAAGTAATCTCTCTGAGAGGAATTATATGAAACTCTGAGCACTAACAATGTTAGGCGATCATACTTACAGTCATATAGTACAAGAAATTTAGTCTTGTAATTATGAGATTGCATTATAATTGGGTATATAAGGCATACACTGTGCTGACCTAATTGTTAACACTGAAAAGAACAGGAAGTTATTATATAACTGTAATAATGTAGGACAAAGTGGTTTCTTACACCAGTACACCAGTATCTTCGATTGTCCCTAGTCTTGATGCTATAAATTTGCCTTTTCAAAAAATAGATATTATAAAATGAAGACACTATGTAAATCTCGTACGAAATTAGGAGTTACATTTTACACACCGATAATCTGTAATGCAATATATCATATATATGTATATATACTATAAAAAACAGCATATCCACAGAGTAAAGTGCCAGTGCCGAAATTGCACATTAGTTCTATCAGGAACCGATTGTGAAACAAATAGGCAGGAAGAAATGGAGATGGCGTGGCTGGTCATAGTCTGAGGAAACCATCAAGTGACATCACTAGACAAGCCATCGCTCGAGTGGAACCCGAAAGGGAGGCGGCGAGTTGGTCGTCCAAGGGTGACTTGGAGGAGGTCATGCGAGGAGGAGATGAAAGCATGTGGACAGACCTGGAGCGGGGTGAAAAAGTTGTCAGAAAACCTAAGGCAATGGAGGTGCGCAGCTGAAGCCCTATATTCCTCTAGGAACTAAAGGATACAATAATAATAATCTATACATTTCAGTAAACATTGAATAAATACTATGAGAGTCATCTGACAACTTATTCGTGTGCAGCCAACTTCAGTCGCATAAATTAGCTTAACGGAAAAATCTACAACCACCCATTACACCCAGAAGCAGAGTTTTATTATCATGCTAATGTAAACTTGTGAAGTTCAACTACTATCATCACATCTATTTGATTGGATAGTAGTCAGTAACTAGTGTAGTTTGTCTAGTCCTCTCTTTGATGCAGACTGAATTCAATCAGTCAAGTTTACAATGTGACCACCATACTAGGTGGCTTGCATCACGGTGCACTTTGAAATGTTGGTATTTGATGGCTGGAGGCAATCAGCAGGAAGCCACCTAACAGGAAACTTAGGCCCAAGGCTTCCTGTCGATTACCTCCAACGATCTAATATCGTCACCTTTGCTAAAAATTTAAGTGAAATGCATATGAGTTTACAGTAAATTATACTAAATGTGACTCAAAATCCTGAATACAAGAAAGAAACAACAGAATCATAAACATATGTTTCCTTTTGTTAAGAACCTATTGGTAAAATACACTTGCATAGTTCTAGCTTTCTCATTGAGGCTCGAAAGCCGACCAGTTAGATTCAGTGTAACCAATATAGGTTAATTCTGAAAGCAAATATCTTTCTAATTAAGACCAATATTCCTTTGTTCCAGACTTCGTTCATTACCTTAGCATGTCATAGTATACAGAAGCCTAATCTTACTCAGTTTGTCCTTTTCATGAATTTTTGTTCCTAATTTACAAAGACCATAATCTTACATCTGCTACTATACGGATCAGAGACTTGGCGCGTCATAAAGAGCACCTCAAACAAACTTCAGACCTTCATTAACAGTTGTCTACGATCAATACTCAAGATCAGATGGCCAGAAAAGATCAGAAACAGGGATTTCTGGCAATGAGCGAACCACCAGCAGGAACCGATTGTGAAACAAATAGGCAGGAAGAAATGGAGATGGATTGGCTGGCCATACGCTGAGGAAACCATCAAGTGACATCACTAGACAAGCCCTCGAGTGGAACCCGAAAGGGAGGCGGCGAGTTGGTCGTCCAAGGGTGACTTGGAGGAGGTCATGCGAGGAGGAGATGAAAGCATGTGGACAGACCTGGAGCGGGGTGAAAAAGTTGTCAGGAAACCTAAGGCAATGGAGGTGCGCAGCTGAAGCCCTTTGTTCCTCTAGGAACTAAAGGATACAATAATAATAATAATCTTACATCTAAATCATTGTTCATTAATATGGATCTGAGATCTGTCAAAAGTTAGTTTATCAGTGAAACATACTTCTCGTCTATTAGTGTATTTTTCAGATCTTATTTAAACATATCCTAATTCTCTTCTAACGGTTGATTTTTAGAAAATTCATATATATATATATATATATATATATATATATATATATACATGAAGTTACTGCATCAGCAGTTCAAAGTGTGGAGAAGCAGTAGCAGGCTTCCGAATCCACACGTATTCGAAACGCAGCCTACACAACATAAGTGAACTTCAAGCGTTGAAAAGTTTCAATTGAGGTGAGACCATCGTATTTATTGAAAATTAGGTTACACAGTCTCCCAAGGCTTCAAATTGGTAAAAGCCTCAGGCTAGTTATAGTTCTTTTGAAAATACCAACTTATCGATTAGTAGGTTTCCATTTCAAATGCTTGCATTACATTACATGAAGAGATTTTATTGGCTAATCATATGAAACTGTAACTAAAAGTAGTTATAATTTACCATTTCAAATTCTCAAGATTCTACAGAAATAAATGAATACCAAGGGTAGAAATAAGGCTTTCGTTGCTTAATCATACGGCTACAAATATTAGGTAGAAAGAAGTATAGCTATTTGTCTAACATTTATAAACTTATACATCCCACATAGTTCAGACTGAAATATAAGCCCTAAATAAGATCCAAAAATCTGAGTTTCACTTAAGAAGGAAAACATTCTGACGAAATCAATTTTCTTTTAATTCATGAACAGTATTGATGTTATACAGTTATATATTGTCCTAGTGAGGTTAGATTTTCATTTCTTTTCTTCCATATTAGTGAAGCCTACAAGTGGTTATAATATAATCTTAGACAGATTTGGGGGCGGACAGAAGACGAAAGTGTCCCAGTTGTACTTTGTCTGAACAGAGATAAGATGGAAATTACCAGTCTAATGGTATTTTCGTTATACACATGTAATAACTAGTAAATTAATTACTTTCATTTCTGCTTACTTCCACATACGTATGCATATATGGATACATATATCCAATGATTGCTTTGTCTAGAAGATTAAGTGTATTTCATACATTTTCTTTCACTTTTTTACACTACACACTTGTCAGCATTGATTTTATTACTTTGCGCTCCGAGTGGAACATTGGGTTTTCAAGTCTGAGCTCTGAAAATTCAGTGGCAGTGATGTTTTTGACCGGATGGGGGTTGCTGGTCCCACGCCTAAGCTTCCTTCTTTGTCGTACTGACAGTGACCCAGGGAGGTAAAGGTGTCCGGCGGCCGGGAATCAAACCCTGAACAACTTGCATGGTTGGCGAACATCCTATCAGCGAACCACCGACTCACTCTCAAAATTGATAACGAATATGCATATTATGATACCAAATAGTATGTGTTATAAACTTAGTTGATTCCAATTAGATAGTGATCCACCGATTATTTGAGTTTAATATGTCTTTAATCTGTAACAACTCAAATCTAATTTCATTTTAGTTTTCATTCATGCTTCAATAGTTTACACATGTAATAGGAAAATTTTTTTTAAAATATGTACCAAAGTCACAACTGAAATAATAAATATAACCGAAACAAACCATTTTAAGCTCAAAACTTTCAACATTATATCAAATAAAACGTTTTCAATAGGCTTAAAGCTATACCTGTTTAAGTTGCGTTGATTTGAAGGCGAGTTCGGCTCTCAGCTTATCAGCCATATCTTGAGCTGTATTCAATTCGCGTTGAGCAACTAAGTATTTCTGTTCTAAACTTGTTGCTAATGTTTCTTGGTCAGATCTTCGTTGTTCAGATTCACGTAATTCACGTGTTAGTCTATCAATCTGTATAAAACATGACATTTAGTAAGCTTATAAAGAAATTCTAGTGAAGTATATTTTGATTATGACTTGAGAGATTATAATAAGAATGGTTTGTATTTGTAATATATATATATATTATATATATATATATATATATATACATCCGCAAGTGAAGGAGCAACGTTTGTTCACAAGACTTATAGTTAAAGATGCCGAAAATTCAAAAATGTGTACGAGCATTTAATAAATCTAACATTTTATTACCACTTTATTGAGTCGAAGAATTCTTGTTGCACTGACAAGTGAGTGACTGAATTCATTGATGAAGAGGTAACGCTGTACAACAATCAAAAGTCAAGCGCCATTTGACAAGCATTCCTAGGTGCAAACTCGATTATTTTTGACACTGATCGGTAAGGAATAACTGGAAAAGACACTATATTAGCAACCTGAAACTTTGTCATTCAAAACTGAATTCACCGGTTTTTTACTAAATGAATCAAGTTGCATTAAAGGTCTGCCTTATTTTGTTAAGTTCTTCATTGTCATCAGGAAGCTGGCTTAATATCACTTATCATCATCACTTACCTCACTTTAGAGTAACACGAGTAAATTTTTAAAATACTTTTGTTTTAACTTTATTTCGTTTAAGTTTATTAATTATATCGTCAGTTGCACCAAGTTGGCCTACTTGGTTTTAAGCCATTTTGCGATGTAAAATATGGTTTTCTCAAAATGTGCACAACGATGTGTTTGTTTCAGTCTACACTGAGAGTGGAAGACATGAAAAGGCTAGCTGTCTTTGATCATATGCGCCTGCGCTCTATCTCCCGTATGAAGTGGCATAATAAGGTGAGCAATACTGAGGTTAGGCGCCGAGTGCTAGGTAAACAGGGGAAATCAATCGACGAAGTTGTGAAGTTACAAAGACTGAGATGGTTAGGACATGTGTCACGCTTGCCTAGTCATCGCCTTTCTCGACGAGCAATGTTAGCGGATATAGAGTCAGGCTGGAAAAAAGGTAGCGGTGGTCAAACAAAAACATGGATTCACCAGTCAATGAAATTCACAACAATTAGTTTAAGTCACGTAGGAAGGTGTAGACTTCCTGACTGGTTGGGGTCTTCGGGTTGGTAAAAACAAATGGTTGGAAACAGTTGGTGATATGGCTCAAAATCGTTTCCAGTGGCGCAGATGCACCCACTCCTTGTGACTTATGATTTCCAATGAAACTACATTGTTCTTCGTTATTACTAATCCTTTGTCTCACACCTCTGTTTACTGTCGCTATTATGCATTTCTTCTACCTTCTTCGCTTGCTTTGTGTGCTACATGGAGGGAGTGTGGCGACTTGAACTACCGCACATCGGTGCAAAGTTCTATGTCAAAAAAAGACAGACAGACAGACACATTGGATTTATTTACTCGAAATCATTCTGTTAAGAGAAGGCCGCGGATCACGGCAGAAGAAATTGTTGCTCGTCGATTTAACATTAAAGGAATCTATGGCCTGCAACTGAGTTTTCTGGACAGAAGATAAATTAAATAACAATAAGATAAGAAAGCGATCTTCACAACTCATAAATTATTATCAAACAGGCCTTTTAGTTACACCTAGAAATTGAAGCAAATTCGATTCATATATGATTGAAATTGTTGGTTTCAATGACTCAGTTCGAAATCACATTCATTATTTGTAAGAAATCCATAAATAAAAACTAAAAGCCACCGAAATAACTGGAGATGGCATCACTGTTTGTTAAGACTAGTCTTATTTAGTGTTACCATTGTGTGCACTCATACGAATTTCTAGTCATAAAACGTGACAAGAATTGGCACGCAGTCTCTACTAGTTAATCAACAAATGGATTAAAACATTTGCTTCCTTGAAAGCGCATACATTAAGGAAAACGAGAGGACTTTCACTAATTTTATTGCCCAACACAGATTGAAGTTAACCAATCTCTGTAAAGAGCTATTGACCATGTTCACAGGCATTTGACCACACAGGTTCATCTGTTCTAAAACAGCATTCTAAGATCATACCACGTAATGAAAATACTTTGTTGCCCTATATCTGCTAAGAATTCTGCATATGTTCTATATGCTGTAGAAGCTACAAACGATTATGGAAGAATGACTGACTAAAAATATTTTGTCTGAATTTCATCTGACTTTCGTCATCTGTGAAAATCTAAGTTGTATATTCAGTTTCTTAACTTACTTGATCATTGGCTCGATTCAATTCGTTTCTTACTAAACTAAGCGAATTAGAACTTTCCCTTGATCGACTCGTCAGTTCTATAACTTGCCTTCTAGCTGCAAGCAATTCAGACGCCTGAAAACAAAAATAAAAAAAATAAAATAAACAAAAACGAATTAAATTGTTTATGCACAATTATCATTTCTGTAAAGATTCTAATAATCTACATATTCAAAACCATTTTTCAAACGTTTAACAAGACAGAATCGTACGAATGATAGTTTTTCTACGCGTAAATCCTCTATATAATTTGGAAATTAACAAATGATGTGTAATATGCTCACTTTTAAAAAATTTATTTGACATTCTTCAGAAGTAGTATATTACTGCGAAGCACAATTTTCTAATCAAATATTTGCATGAAATTTGAACACTAAAATTCCCCACTTCGCTAACATGATACTTGTTTTGGCTTTTCAAATATATATATGTATATATGTACATATATACATTATATATGAATATAACCAACTTTACTTTTTGTAAATATGTTAAATACTTGTAGAAACGCTAAATGAAACCTCTATTTATCCTCTTCAACAAAATGTCAAGCACAAAGTGTTTTCAGAAAAGCACTACAAACATTGATGAATGACTTGAATTCATTTCATTTCTATCACCTTTACACTGCTGATTACATATGTAAAGTGTCTAGTGTTGGGATCGGTAACAGTTAGATCTTTTTTTTAAATTGCACGTTTCCATTTACAAGTAATGATATATGCGTAACCTAATCAAAAAATTATCCTTATGATGATAACAGTTATTCACTAAAACTGATCAATACCTAAGGAAATTATTTTGATTGACAAGACTGAAGGACTGAAATTATGATGCTATTTATAGACAGGATAGATGAAGTCATGAAGTATAAGAAAATTAACACATTCCATATCTAACGTTTTTACAGTTAGAACATATAGTGATATAGCAAAATTCAAAAGTATTATTATAGTTGCCTAGTCTGGAATGCATCAAAAAAGATCTGTCTATCAGCATACCGAATGGACACTTATATAACTGACACAAAATTACTGCAGACTATGGTCTACCATAATTTTGAATTCATTTGTGAACAGTAGCCAATGAACAGGAAATCCTGAACATGAATTTCATACTTGCTGGAACTTTGTAGTTTTGAAGGCGTATTATCCAAAGCACATTATAGGAGTTAAAAGTGAACTTTATTAAATGTAGGTGTGCTTAAAATTTCGGCTGAAGGAGTAAGATCAATAGATGAGAAGGGGAGAAAATAATAAGACCAGAGAATAAGAAACTGTTAGTTTACCTAGATAATGCAGGAGAACAAACGGCTACTTTCGTGGATTTAAACTAGATTTGGGAAGATGCAACACTGATATCGTATATAAATTCAAATAGCGACTAATACTTTATCTGTAAACTACATAAGAACAGTCTAAACCTACTGTGTGTCCAGCATCAATGATATGTCTGCTGATCATATTGCTAGACTATTCCATACCTCACAGTCACACGACTTGACTGATATTATGTAAAGTTTTTCATTAAAGTACATACACTTTCTGGAGTCTTATAAATAGTGAATAAAGTCTTAATTTTAACCCTTGACCAACGAGTAACACAACATCACTGTTCGCAGTTTAAAGGAATAGTAGCTGACTCCTTTGAAATAAATATTTGAGATCTCGTCTTCTGCTTTTGATCACAGTTGACATCAGTTAGAGAACCATTGGAAAGCATGGGATTACTGGACGGCTGCTTCTTTCTAGTCTGGGACTCCTCAACAGTACGCACTCACTGAGGCTCGCCTGAGGACCGTTCCGTTACAAGGCAAGCTCATAGACCACCCAGCCACCGAAGCCAAATCCAATGGCCCATGAATTCCAACTTCTGCCAATTCGTGATATATATAGCGCAACCGCCAACCAGTGTCATAAGTAACTAACTGTTTAATATTAGACTTGGGGGTACTTTGCTGGTTACAACTTCACACCATTTAGTATTTGTCTTCCACCAAACATTCAGATTATTTTACAAATACTCCTATAGTGTGGAGCATTTCAGGATATATACTTAGTCATTAGAATATACTCATGAACACCTTTTACCTGGTTGCATCATTAAAAACGGGGGAGGTATTTGGTTGTCCTGTTTTCATAGTATTCAGTCTAGTTTTATTTGATACACTTCCATTTGCCTCACTCTTCTCAGTTAAAACTAATAAAAATGTCTACTTACGCTGTTGCCTGAACATCTCCTTAACGCACTGAGGCCGTTCTTTAATCTCACTAGTTAGTTTTATTAGAAACACTGCATGCGAAAATTAAGTGCGGAATAAAAAAGATGAATATTGCTCTTAAAGCATATGCTGTAGGCAAACAACTGGTTTTTCTACTGATGATTTATACTGACTGCAGTACTCATTCGTACAAATATAATGCACCGTATGATAAGTATAAACAATGCAAGTTAGACAGTATCAAGAGGAACACTTAAAGTACCTTCATCAATGAAGGTGGCATGGAAGATTTTAGATCTTCCCACCTCATTCTTATTAGTATTTAATGATTTAAACTCACGTATTTTCACGACGTCTTTTTTGTTTAACGACTACTGATGATGACCTAAAGAAGTTCAATGCCTGTTCAAATGAATGTGTCTCAAAATGAAGTATCGCCTAAGTATTCTCATTTTAAATTGATCAGTTCGAGAAAGGTCTCGTTGAAATACTCTCCTCCCTGTAAAAAAAACTTCTTTAAGTGTCAATTCAAACTGATTGATAAGCTCTACATTCGAGCTCATCTTATCAACCAGTCCTGTGTGAAGGTATTTGATATGGAAATCAGCAAACAGGATAAATGATAACTGTTTGAGACCACTTTCCATCGTTGAAACTAAACTCTTTTGCAGAAAAGGCTACTTTGATGGAATTCTAAATGTAAGTTGAACAGTATGACCGTGAAATACATAAAATCTTGGAAACTGGCATTTTTCAACAAAGCTACTGTCTATTCTTCATTATTTGTAGTCCACATTACATGCAAACTATTCTACCATCCTATTTATTATCGATTACTACTATTTACTACTCCTTTTATCGATAAACGAATACACTGTTCAATTTGAATGAAATGATTGGATTACTACAAATCCCTTTGGAAAGTATTTTTGATAAGGCAATAAGTATGCATAACTTATTAAAACTGCAAAAGACTTGAGAGATTCCACGTCTGTTTTCATATCTAAACTGACCTTACTTTGTTCTTCTTTTCTGTGTAAAGATCATGTTGGACTTTGAAGAAAATTTAAATAGTGACCTTGTGCATTTTTGAGTTCATTTCAAGATTAAAAGTAAATAATTATAGTTGTTTGATAATTTATCTTGAAATCAATCATATTTCAACAACCCAAAACATAAAAAACCAATCAGCTGCTCTCTAGTGACCTAAGACAGGATGAAACTGCTTAAAGTTCTATATGTCCAAACGAAGTTTAGCTTCTACATTTTGAAAACTTTTGGGCGTTGCGTATATGATATTGATTATAATAAAGGTTTTTTGTATTTCCCAACATTGTTTTGTTTTTCATTCATTGGCAAGTAAAAAGCCTTTATTATAATGCTTAAAGTTTTACTAATAAGTCATGACCAGCGGGGTCCATCAAGTTGGGTTTAACGACAAATACTCGCCAATTATATTGGCTGGCGGTAGCACTTGATATCGCGAATTTGCAGAAATTAGAATTAATAGGCTATTGAACTCCATCCCAGTCACAGAATGGTCAACGAGCTCATCTTGCAACCTTAGTTCAACCCCTAGTGCAGTCATGAATGAGTTCCAGTGAAGAGTCCCAAAGTGTGATAAAACAGCTATCTAGTAATATTTGCTTTTATTCAGCAGTCCTCTAACTGAAATCACTTCGTGATCAATCCTGAAATCAGTCTAATCCCTGCAAACTAACCCTTAGAAATGAAATAATATGTTACTTTGAATAGGTTAATCAGTCGTTAACATCTCTTGTATACAAACTGGATTTACGTATTTCAGCCAATTTGGAAAAATCCTTCAGCCTAAATTCCAAGCATATTACCACATATTAATAAGACATGCTTATCACTTTATAGAAATTATTTTTTTTCAGTATCTAAACATTTAAAAATTTTAGGAACAAATAGAGACGTCAATAGACGCCTGAATATTTATGTGGATCAACACAGTTTTCTGTCCACTATTGTTTTTACATTTCTTCGTTACACAATGTAAAATCATAGATAACTATTCAAGTGTTGGTTTGTAAGGATTTGATTGGTTTACAGGATTTCATCATGAGCTGACATTAGTAAGAGAACCATTGGAAAACCACCAAGGAGTACTGGACAGCTGTTTCGTCCTAGTTTGGGCTCTTCAGCAGTACACACCCACCGGCATTCGAACTAACTACTTCATACTTTAATGTTACAACGTTTCCTACTCAGAGAACATTTGGCATATAAACTAAGTAGAGTCAGTGGTTTGATACTGTCTCATACTCGACATTCATATTCAGAGCAGAGATACATTTTTTAAATATACACATGTGAAACATGTCACAAATTAGCAATTACAAAAGAATTCTACAACTATTAAAGAATAGACGTACACGTTGTTCAAGATTCTGCTGCAGTTCTTTTATTCTATTAGCTGCTTCAATAGCAGCTACTGATGCTGAAGCAGAAAATAAATTTGACAGCGATACGCTTGAAACAGGAAAGGAGGTTAACACATCTGAACTTGTACTCGGTACTAGTGTTCCTTGTGGTGGTGTTGCAGTTTCTAAATCAATGAAATACAAAAGACAGAACAAATAACAGTAATAACTTTTTCAGGCAATTACAAAAAATTTTGACATTAAAATCATAGTATTTGAAAAGGAGTCAAACAGTCAGAAGTTTGAAATATTTAAAGATATCAGTGATTAACACTATGGATTTTTTACTGGCGTCATTTTGGATGCATTTTCCTTGGTGTACTGTTTTAAATCTTCAAACTGTAAAACTGATAAGTTATATACTTACTATGTCAACATATTTTGTCCCCAAAAGAAAGGAAGATATTAGGACAGTAAGAAAAGGTTTATAGCACAGTGTCGTTACTATAAAAATGTGATTAAATGTCAGTTTAATTCCAGCTTTTGTTACTTTAGATATATTTTTATATTTACTAATTATTGCTCACTTTTTATTTCGTCGATGAAATGAATTTAGTTAATTCATAAATTTTATATTAAATATCGAGAGGTTGGAAATACTCTCACATATGTGAGGGAAGTGTCACTTTTCTCTTGATAACCTCTCAATTCATCTCATGGCTAATATATATGTAACAACAGAAGACAAGGGCCGGAAACATATCCTTTCATTACGGAAATCAGCACGTATTTATATATATTTCATGTACATTATTATCGCTTTATTCAACCAGACAAACACAGTCTTCTAATTGGTTGTTTCTGGTTTCCCGGAAAGTTAAGCCATATATTTGCCCATGTTAAGTCTGCCGTGATTGATTGTTGAATCAGCCAACCAGTTGTTCATATTTTCTCACGGCCAATATTAGTGACTTAGACATTGACGTAAATTAATGTCTACCAATTGGCTAGCAGCCTGCTCTCACCACATATATATATATATTATCTAAGTAAAAAAGATATTTTAGAGAAAAGAAAGTGAAAAGTATAAGAAATAGCTGAACAGATTTTCCTTTTCTTCTCATATAACTTTCATAAGTAAATATTTTGATGTGTTTTACTACAACTTTATACCATGTTGAGCGAATTCAGATAATTTATTCTGAGAGATAAAGTTGAAGATTATCCCGTACAGTAAGTAATATAATCTTTTATCGTGAAAACAAGTAATGTAGACTTAATGATATTGATTGAAGAATATAGAATGAGGGTATGCATGTATTAACAAAGTTTAGACTATATGTTTAGTTTGGATTTAATAGGATATGAAGTTTGGTCATGCATGCTTATTATTCGATAATTTCATCACATAGAGATAGAGAGACAGAGATAGTATCAGACACCATTTTAAATCAGGTTTGAAATTTATTCACTTGATAGTTTCAGTGTTTTCGATTAATAAATGTTTGCAGAAACAAAATCCGTCATTATCCTGTATATGTTTGTAAATTTTAATAATATATTCATCCTGAGAGCCAAATGTTCTAAATTGAGACAATAATTCACATCCATGTAGAGTATAAGTTTCTGATAACTTGTTGATATGTGTGATAAATGAATGCAAACAACCAGCATACCAAAACAACAAATCAATGAACGCTAAATAAACTACATATATGTGTCAATTAACCTGGTTTATTGGTTGAGAAAGACTGAGTACTATAAAACAAAGTTTTGATTACTGTCTACTGTCTTATTCCCGGAGAAACATGTACAAGGCTCATTCTTTTCAAAGATTTCAAAAAGGAAACAAAGTATTGACAGACTTTCTTTTTTTTAATATGACCAGTTTGGAAAGCATTCCACTGTAAAATCGTAAACTAATTTCTTAAAAAATATATAATTGAGGGTAGAAACACGATGAAATGCTGCACCAGCCTTACTAGTAGAAGAATCGTACGTTCGTAGAATATGTAAGTTTGCTTTACAACCCTTAGAAATACGTATTAATGTAGGAAGGATTAGAAATATTGGAATGAAGCCTAAAATTTGAAGAACTTAACCACTTTGAAACCCTCCTATCTAACAAATAAAGTACATGATTAACTAGCTGGACAGCAGTAAACACCTTCCAAGTGGTAGGTAAAACCGCTTAGAGATTTAGCCAATTTTTGGAAAATAGATGTAAATACTTCCGACATAGTTAATCCAGAGTTTGAGCATAGTTCCTCCAAACCAAAAAGCATCTAATATCGTCAATTTAATTTCTTTCAATTACATTTAGGTAATAAAATGAAAGAGCGGTAATTTTCACTATGAAAAAATGATAAATATGTCTACTATATTCTCATACTCTAAAACATAATGCTAATGCTACAAATTTAAATAATAAAAATTATGAAACCATGAAGTAAGTAGTCCAAACAGTAACTGCAAAAAGTTATTTTTGTTTTTTCCACTCACCCCTAAGCGGCAGTATTTTCTGCTGATCCTGATTAAGCTTCGGTTCTGAGTCGTCAGACTTCAGTAAATCACTTTCAACTTGTGTGTGAATTGATATCATTGTTTGGTTAATACTCTTATTTTGTGTATTTATGCTTGATGCAGGCAGCGCAGATCGTTTTAACTCCAATAATTCATTTTCTAATTCAGTAACTTTGTTTTGTGATACTCTCAGTCTGTTATGAACTTTTTCATCCAATACCTTGTGATGTTCAAATAAAGACTTTAAGGCCTTTAAAACCTCAGCTTCAGAACCTAATCCTGTCATTGAAGGACTGAGTGATCCAGTTGTGGCATTCATTGAATAATTGGAGGAGGGATTCAAAATATCCATTTCTGGGCATACTGATTCACCATCAGATGTGGTTCCACTTGGAATTAAGGAATTTGTACTGGTACTCATTGTTGTAGATGTATGACGTTTAACCACAGTCATTCTAAGCGATCTCTCATGTCGTGCCACGAGGTTTTCCAAATGTTCTAAAAGAATCTATTATTCAGAAAAACACAAAAAAGATTAATTAAATGTCTTCTGGTATTTCTGACAGTGTTTTTAAAGTCCATTCTGAGAATTTCTCTCTCGGTTTTACAGTATGCAGCAACATGGTGTCTGACTATGCCAATAGACTCAAACTCATTGATAACAAGTTAAACTTTAGGCACCACTAACTATCAAATGGAATGCGACCGCACCATTGACCATAAATGGTCCAATGAGTTTCATCCACGTGAGTTGAAGCTTCTATTCCGCTTGATTCTAGTCAAATACCTGCTCTAGCTCAGTTGCACTTGCAATTCGGTACGGAAAAGGTTTTCCAGTATTGCTCGGATGTCGGATTGATTATGAAAGATAGGATTTGTTCACGTGGAAGTGTCATGAGTATAAAAAGCTTCAGCAAGTTGGTTGATGGATATGTGGTACCAACACTGCAGGGATATTCAATCGTGGAAAATTGGTAGGTTTACTTCGTTACTGGGAGGAGAAGGTGTCATCGTACATGTGGATGAAACTGTCTTAATAAAGAAAAAGTACAACCGTGGTCGTGAACATTCAAATAATGTTTGGATGATTAGTTTATTTGATACCTCTCTACAGAAAGAATTTGTCGAGAGAATAGCAGATAGGAAGTCAACTACCTTATTACGTGTTATCACTCGACTGGTAAAACAATGATCTAAAAACACACCGTTAATTGGAAAGGTTATAACTCCTTGTCATCCCTTGTATATATTTACCACAGAGTAGACTATTCTAATGATTTTGTGGATACCATTAAAGGAACACATACTAAGGCATTTGAAGAAGGTTAAAACAGGATTAGAGTCATTAATCAATCTCAAGAAGATCTCATTTATAGTCATTTAGGTGAATATATGTACAGGATGTGGTGTAACTTTTCAGTTAATACTCCTAGGCTAAACTGGGAGATATTTTTATCATATGTGAGAGAAAGGTATCTTATGTAACAGTTTTATGCAGCTTTTATGCACTTTTTCATAAATATATGTAATCCATACCCAAAAATACCTCCTTCATGTGATTGGTGCTTTCAAGATCATTCTCTGACTGGTAGTTAGTGGTGCTAAAAATTTAATTTTGCCCTCATAGATTATAGAAGGGTGGTGATTAATTACGTGTGGAACGTGTTTATCCAATACATCAGTATTGTTTAATCGATAAATTTTTAGTCTGTGGATCACAGTTAATGAGAGCCTGGCACCAAATCTTAAATTGAATTCGTACCTTTCCCCATCTCTACTAAAGCAGCAAAATTTGTAATATTATCATTCAAAGTGCAGTCACTAGAACAAAAACCATTTAGGTATAAGGTTAGTTCACTAATTAGTGAAGTGATAGAAAGTGCTTTATTCTTAACTCATCTTTATGTATTTATTATTAAGTAAATGGTTCTGCTAACATCTTACTAAAACTCAAGTTTGCATTAGCGTTACTTCAGAAGGACTTCATTACCACAAATCTACTTATACTGCTTTGGATATTTAAATTCCCCTCATTCTGAATTTACTACTCACATTACTTTTGCGAAGATGACTTACAATAAATTTATTCTAAAATAAGCGGCAACCGGGATGTAACTGAGAATTCCACACTGTATCAAAACACTGTTTGGACTATAATTACAATAATAATTATTATTATTATCGTTAAGAAGGACATTTTAGAACAAGCAGACCATATGTTGCTTTGATAGAGAAACTTGATAAATTTGAATGATTTTATTTTTCACCTACTCAACAACATACGTTCTGAAATAATCTTCTCTTCTCTAATTAATACATTCTGTTCCTCCTTACTTAACAGATGTAAGTCTCGAAATATTTAAAAACAAACTGCCTTTAATAATAATTAATTACATCATTGTATATTTAAACTGAAACTATTAGTCTGAAATCATCTCACTATTAACAAATTATCGTAGGGAGTAATCTTAATGTAAAACCAAAATCAAGTTGAAGGTAGGACAGTTAGTTTCGAAGTTAACACTAGAGGTATCGAATTATAAATAAAGATTTTAAGGTGTATATATGCATAAATTGACTTTGTAACAGAAAGTCACTTCGACATGATGCAATGAATTATGCTAACTCCATTCGATCAAGCATTCTAGATATATAATCGAATATTTTCCAGAGAACTTTAGCACCCATATAACTTGTTCCCTAATGCACGTCAGAGATTCACAGAATACGTCAATACAATTGCCAAGAAACAGTCACAATCCGCTAAATCTTAGCTCACTGATGGCCTCAAGTTAATCGAATGTCGTAGAAAATTTCTTGATGATCCTAAAATATTTGTGTCCAATTATTCGTCAATAGATTTATTAAATTTACAGTTGAAAGCTTTGTCCGTAGGTGAAAAATTCTCTGATATCATCATCAGTGTCGACAAACTTCATACTCACGTACAATTTTAAAAATTAATCATCCAAAAGAATGATCTAATCTGTGTTTCTGGTCAGGAACTACAGTGATTCAAATCAGCTATCATAGATAATTATTATGAGTACCTCAACACATTAGCAAGACCTTCTGGTTACAAGGCAAGCTCGTAGACAACTAAACCACTGGGACCATAATCAATGGCCCATGAATTCTAACTTCTATTAACACATGACATAGTGCCACAACTTAGGAATGTCTTCGATGGGTAACTGTCCCCACCTTCAAACTTCTAAGTGGTGGCGCCATGTCATCAATTGGCAGAGGTTAGAACTCATGTGCCGTTAGGTTAGGTCCTAGTGACTTAATGGTCCACGAGCTCGCCTAGTAACCAGAAGGTCCTGGGTTCGAAACCAGATGTGTGCGCATTGCTGAAGAGTTTCAAACTAGGACGAAACAGCTGTCCAGTACTCCTTGATGGTTTTCCAACGGTCCCCTAACCAACGTCAGTCCATGATGAAATCCTGAAACTAAGCGCCCGTTTCAAATTGAGTAGTATATACTACAGTGATAAGTTTCAATTTTATAATCAAAATTAAATATTCGTTGCAGAATAGTTTTGACGTTTTAATTGAGTAGTAATAAGATTATTTAAATCTTATAAGCAAGATGATAGAAACAATTCTGTAGTAAATAAGTTATTTTTTTAAAATAAAAGTAACTAAAATTTGAATACTACTAATTTCCATACTGAAATTGCTAACTATGGAAATACCATATCTGCTTACACATGAATTCACCAATAAGTTAACGTTTAAAAAGGCCTAGTTTAGTGCTTAGATTGTAAGTTCGTGTTTAGATCATGATAGGCATTATTTGAAGCATTTATTTACCGATACTAAGTTAAAGCAAACAACATAAGTTAATGAAGCAGGATTTAATGAATACATCGAATTTCCTTAGAACTGTTCAGCCGGTTACTCTACATACAGGGATATATATATATACCACTAGAATTACACTGATACATATAAGACTGATAAGATAACAAGAATTTAGAAATAAATAATAATAATAGTAATGTTAAAACGAGTTAAGATGATGGTAATGATAAAAGATTGATTTAAGTGAAACAGAAATAATGATAAAAAGAGGTAGAATAAAATATTAACAATAATAGTAATAACAGTTATTAAATTTAACATATTAACATGGTAGATTTAGAGAGACGACCGTGCCCCTTTGTACTCACAGATCTGGTTTATCAACTCTAATTGAATAAGCCTCCACAACTGTTAACATCTTCCTGCTTTTTTTAATCTGCTGACAACAGCCAATGACTAGACAGAGTCGATATGATGTCCATAGTCCGCTAGATGTTTTGTTCTTGAACTTTTAGGCATTTTTATTTCGGCTGTTTTCATCCATGTGGGCAAATGCTGCATCATGCGAGTAGACAATCACCTGTTTGTAAAACCTATGTATTTATTTCAACAAACACACTCAAAATGATATAAGCAGATTGCTTTGGAACTGTTTGAATAGTTTTACTGAGGCTCATTTCTTTACTTTATTCATGAATAAACTTCTCGGGATATCCATTTTTAGATAAAATACCCTGCAGAGTCTTTTTTTCATGTTCAATTGTACCGTCAGAACAAATTTTTCTTGCTCTATTGAATAGTGTTCTGACTAAGTTCTTTTTGTATTGGATCGGAACAAAACTTTTGAAATGTATTTACTGTCCCATCCATGAAGACTGTCTAAATATTGATCTTACTATTGTGCCATCAGTCTCTTTCAGCAGATAAATATCTAGTAATTTAATGGTATCACTTTTCCCCGTGTTCTATCATGAAGTTAAGATTCGGATGTCATGAATTCATTAAATCGTCCTTTATGTACTTTTGTTGCTTGTCCTATGTAAGCATTATTGTTATCATCAGAGCAACATCCTACCGTCCATTTCTAAACAGTTTCTCATGCTTACTATTCATCACCTCGTTTGTGTTCGATCATCCTTTCGAATGAGTCTGTTTGCCGTAAATAATTTTAATGAAGCGATTCAATTTTTCAGCTGCCATAATCTACGTGTTTATGTCTGCTTTCATTTTTTTTACATATTGCTGCAAGTGAACTATCGCTTTTCATTCATTGTATATGATTACTTTTATATTTTGCAGCATAATCATGTTAGGTCATGGTAAGTTGAAAAAAAATAGGAGTAATTGAACTCAGTGCGAAGCTTCACTTGCATTTAAACCTCATACATGAATAGAAAACTCGTCTTTTTTTTATCGAAATGGAGTATTAACGATTGAAATAGCTTGTCGTAACATTTTTTACTAACGAATTATTTGCTCCGTTTTCTTTGAGATCACTTGAATACTCATGAGTATTTCAATTCACAAACTTACCAGTTTGTAATATGCTAATGATCACATTAACAAAAAGGTATATAAACTTGAAACGTAGGATATCGAAATCTTCCATCACATAAGAAGTCAGTCTATATATATATATATATATATATATTCATGAATAATTCCCATTTGAATATTAATAGACAAAAGACAAGTAGTTCAGCGAAGAGTCTCTTTTCGGAGAATTCATTATCATAGCTATACAATCGCAAATATATATGGTTATTTTGTGTGTGTGTGTATACATTAAATTTGTCAAACGAAAATACAATTAGTAAGTTCAGATGAATTGGATGTTGATAAGAGGATAGTAACAAAAGTGATGAGTTGTCATAAATGATTGTTAAATAAGAGTTGCGTAATGGCATGAATAGTTTGATGAAAGAGTAGTGCTCAGGGTGTACATGGAAACAAAATAATATACAGAATTACACAAGGGTTTTAAGTTAGAAAAATAAGCATACAAACAGAAGTAAGGTCAAATCAAACAAACAAAGAAAAGTTAGGTCAAATCAACGGAGTTGTTACCATGAGAGTAGAAGTGGTTGAATAATTTTCTTTTGTATGCATAGTTTTGGTTCCACCAACCGAATGGCTAGGGCTTCTGCGATGCAAAGAAGACGGAATCGTACTGTCTTTGGAAGGTTGTTCTTCACTTTGTAGATTACTTTGAAGGAGGCGTTTTGTTGAGATGGAATGACCAGTTTTGACGAGATGTTCGATAATTGCACTCCTTATACGGCCATTACTTCCTTTCTGCAGCCACGCTGGATAGTGTTCTTTGACCCTTTTTGACAGGATGCGCGTTGAACGACCGATGTACCTGGCTCCACAGTAACAGGTGAACTGATATATACACATAGAAGTGGTCATGGGCCGAATCTTGTCCTTTGGGTTTCTGCAGATCAGCGGGCGACTGGAGAACACTATTCTTAGTGTCGCCGCAGGGAAAGTTCTTCCTAAAGAGGTGGAAATTCTCCTCCTGAGGACGTCACTAAGTAGGTCTCCTTTGAAGTCTAGGTTCATATAAAGTATCTTTTTTGGCACGGATGGTGTCTCTTGCTTCTGGTTTTTCTGTTTGATGTTTTTCTCTACGAATCTTGGTGGGTAGCCATTTTGTATGAAGATTTCCCTCAGGAAGTTTGGTTCTTCTTCCATGGTGTCGGAGCTGCAGATGCGTCTGACGCGAGTGGCAAGGGATTTAATTAGGTTTTTTTCCGACTGATTGGTACCCAGCCGTAGAAGCTTGTCAATTGGCCGATCCATGTGGGTTTCCTTTAGATGGACCTTTTTAAAGTTCCGTCAGCTCTCCTTGTAAGATTAGTTTTAAATTTCTAGAGTGAACTTTGTGGCTGGATGGAATTTGTTGAATATTTGCAGTAATTGATTGAGATCGTGACCGTCATCACAGGTGATAAAGATGTCGTCCTTATATCTAACATACAATTTGAAATTGTCAATGGTTGATTTGAGTGGGCCGTTCTCGAGGCTTGCAATGAAGCAGTCTGCTAGTAATGGGCCCAGTGGAGATCCCATTGCGATCCCATCTTGTTGTCTGTAAATAACCTCATTGAATGTGGATTTTAAATTGAGTGTGCATCTCAGGTCGTCGGTAATGCGATGTTCAGCCGATTTTCGTTGATATAATGACAAATGTGAGAGACAGTTTCTGTGAGTGGAACGTTGGTAAATAGTGATTTAGTGTCGAGAGAGAGCATAGTTTTGTTCTTTGCTTTGATATCTTTAATGTAATCGACGAATTCTATATATATATATATATATATATATATATATATATATATATCTGAATTCACTTTGCTTCACATTTTGCACAGAATAAATTACTTCTCGTTTCATTCTATTTTGACATCATAGTACCACTTTTTTATGCCAAAAAGACTTTCAGGCAAAGAAATAATCTTCCTCATATATTTAGGAACGCCGAATTTATCTGTCATACAGCAGACAAAAAGAATAAAAATTCCTCCATTTCATTTTATATTTATTCATTCAGATTGCGAGAGACATAGATATTTATCTCTGCTAAATCACAATGAAAACAAGGGGCGAAAACTTGAATTTACAAGTAATTATTGATTTTAATGAAATTATAGAGTATCTTAAGCGTGTCTAATTTATATATCCATGTACCTCTTGGTGAATAAATACTTTCACAAAAAATACGGAAGCTAATTTTCCCAAATCAAAGGTAGGTAAACTATACAAAGATTCGGTAGATCAAATGATAATTAGGAATATATTCCACAATCAATCTACACTGAAGATTCCTTAAAAATATGAGTTGTATGTGGGAAATATGAAACGATATTTTTGGCGAATGATGGTTGAAACTCTGTCTGTCACTTCTATTTTTTTAAATGATACAATTTAACTGCTTGATATTACCCTGATATTCTATGAAAACATTCCAGGTACGTACACACTAAGCGAATCCGTAGATGAACTAATTGAAAATGTTGAGACAATGTATTCTCAGTGGAATTACATTTATTTATCTACTTCTAAAATGATCATCATTTTGACTGTGAAATCTCCCCTCTAATCCTACAAGTTTGAAAGTCTACCGCTCACTGCAGTCTCAGTTTCTGTCTTACACTCCATGAGAATTATTCATAAGAAATAGCTTTGAAAAAAAAGGCAAGTATTTGAAGGTCAAATACATAATTTCAGGGTTGTACTTACTTTCATATTATTACGTTCAGCCTTTAAATCAGCGATCTCATCAGATCTTTCAGCCAGCTGCTCTTCAACTTCTGTTAACTTCTTCGACATCTCAACGACATCCTAGATAGAAAAATAAGACGAGTGTTGACGAATCAATTCTTTTTGAACTTCTTTCACAAATAAAAATATTTTATATCTTAACATGACTCTAAAGCTAAGTACACAATAAAATTGTCATAATATTTTGTAAACACTGACCTCACTACTGATAATCAGTGGATAGTATAATAAGTACGGAAGTTAAGACAAATGATTTTCTAAATGTCATTGTATTGTGTGCTGCTTATAAGCTGTTTTTTTTATAACCAGTTCGTAAATTACTTTGCGGTAAACTGTATTGTTTTCTGAGAAACATCACTGTTCTAATGCAGTAATAATTATGTAAAACCGATAGAAGTTGGCTGTCTATTAATCGTCCATATAACAAAGTAACTAAAACTTAATACATTATTCTGTGGATAAACTCGCCGCTTAAGCGAATGTGACTAGCAAATCTTAAAAAGATTTTGCATTGAACTGAACTCCTTTGATTTCTGTAGTTTTAAAAATTACTTTTTCATAGTGTAGTCGATTAGTTTCAGTAAGTAAACTAATTTGGCTTTTATCTCGTAATGTGTGTATAACAATGAAGAATTTTGATATACTGTTGGAGATTTGTGGGATGGTGTAGTTTAATTCTCTAAACTGGATGGTTTAATTGCAAAGCTTTCAACACCCTTCTAGACAATATGTTAAGCACCAAATTCATTGTTTCTCCTGATGATCTTAGTCGTTCCTGTAGATTTTCTAATGATTGTATCTACTTGTATTAAAATCAACTCCGTCATTAACCAAAAGGTTGAATATCAGGTCAACGAAATGTTCACTGACAATACAAGTGAATTCAATGATAAGAAAAACTTCGGTGACAAGTAATCACATGCAAGCTTAAGATAATTTCATATCACAGAGAATTTTACTTCATTATATACTAATGGCCCCTTAATTTTTGTTGAAGGACGATAAAAACCTGCAGACAAATAAAACACCAGTACGAGAAGTAATAAATTCAATGTGATGTTATAACTCGCCTTTTTTTGTTTTTAGAAGAATGGTGAATTGTTTAATTTATGTGATTATGCTTTAAAAATGAACTATAAACTTAGAAAATTAAACATCTTCAACAGAATGACAAAAACGTTTCCTAAAAATGCCCTGAATTCATTTCAGTACAGTATTTGAAGTTAAAATTTTGCTGTGAGGCGGTTTCTAAACTTCTGTTATGATGAAACACTGTAGCCACCACTTGAACATTAGACACTAATTGAGGCAGATACGAGCAATTCTACCCAAATGTTCACGGGTGTCAGTATGATATTACTGGAGTTTAATCTCATCCTCGACTTTGTCAAACTGAATTTATGAAACGATTCAATTACCATTATGCTTAATTCTCTTGCTTGTCAAATTTCCCATTTTATATTATCCATCATGGTAAGTCTATTTCGGGTTACCTTAATCAATCAGTTATGTTTACGTACAAACTTGTGAGCTTATAAGCAAGTGAGAGATTTGTCAACCTATCATCCTGCATTTTCTGAAAGGAATGAAAGATCAATATCCTCGAGGGATTTTATAATACTGAGTTAAAAAAGAATTAACTGCGGATCCGGAACTCAGTCATAGGACAAAGCTGTCCATTGAAGAAATTATTTTAGGGATTCAGTTATGCCTCACATCTACTATCTTTAAGTTCCAAGGCAAAATATATAGACAAACAGAAGGTGTAGCAATGGGATCACCAATATCCCCTATCGTAGCAGACATATTTATGGACAGCTGGGAAAATATTGCTCTCAATACATTTAACCCTACTCCAAAAATATGGTGGAGATATGTGGATGACACTTTCACAGTGTTAAAAACAGAACATATCTCTAGCTTCTTGACACATATAAACTCACAAGTTGAGGGAATAAAATTCACATTTGAATCAGAAAATGAACAAGGAGAATTAGCTATGTTAGATTGTAAGATAAAAAGAATAGAAGAAGGCAAACTACACACTAGTGTTTATAGAAAACCAACGCATTCTAATAGATATTTAGACTTTAATTCGTCTCATCCGTTAACTGTTAAGGCAGGCTTAGTTAAATGTTTAACAAACCGAGCAGTGGCACTAAGTAGCACAAAAAAAGATCTAAATGATGAATTAAAACAGATAGAAGAAGCGTTGGTGTTGAATAACTATCCTATAAAATTCATTAGGAAGATCATTAAAGGCCAAAAACAAAATAAAAATAATTGTGAAACTAGTAATAATAACATAAATAAGAAAGAATATAAGTCATCCACAGTTATACCATATAAAGAGGGGACATCTGAGACACTACGTAGGATTCTGAATAAAATAGGAATTAGGGTGGCATTTAAACCTACAAACTCACTCAGGGACAAGCTCTGTAGGTTAAAGGACCCAGTTGACCCAATTAGACAAAATAATATTATTTACAAAATACCATGCAATGACTGTGAGGTCAACTACATAGGTCAAACTAGTAGGTCAGGGGTAGTCAGATTGTCAGAACATAAGAATTTAGCTAAGGTAAGAATGGTTGACCCCGAGAAGATAAATAATTTAGAAAAAAGCTCAGCAATCACAATGCATGCGTTAACACACAATCACACAATAGGGTGGGAGAGGGTTAAAATTCTAAAAAGTAATCTAGGTAGGTGGAGAGAGAGGTTGATTACTGAATCCTTGTTCATCGAGTCTACACCCAACACATGCAATAGGAATGACTCGTCACTCATACCTGAAATATGGAGAATACTACTGCCAATCAAATCAAGTGAAAATCAAGTGAAAAATAATGGAACTATATAAATGAAGTTAAGAAGTCGTGTGATTACCTTGATATGATTATGAGCAGCAATAAATTGTGCTCGAAACGGGGTCATCAGTAAACATTTCTGTATAACACTGTGAGACTTTATCAAAACAAAAATTTACTCACAATGGAACAATAAAAATTGGTTTTGATTGTCGTTTACGTCATGAGAATATTTGAAAAAATATGATTAATAATGAAATTATGACTACTGGCGTGGTGGGCGCGAAGAATATCATGAAGGTAGCGATGATGAGTTTATCAAAAATTTTTAGTGTTATTGTTAGTCAATGCATAGGAGAAGTTGAATAAGTGTATTATAGTCACGTAATAAGATGAACAATTTAATGGGTGATTTTTGATTAGGATGTACATAGAAATAAAGGAAAATATGACATCATGTTTGAGTCCTAAAATTTACAAGAGTTATAAGGAGTTAGAAAAGCGGGCGCACAAACGTCAAGTCAGTAGAAATTAACACTCTTTTTGTCGTACCAGTAGAAGAAGTTGAGTGAGACTGTCAGAATATAAAAATTTAGCTAAGGTAAGAATGATTGATCCCACGAACATAAGTAATTTAGAAAAAAATCAGAGATCTCACTGGATGCATTAACACACGACAACACAATAGTTTGAGAGAGTTAAAATTCTAACAAATAATATAGGTAGGTGAAGAGAGAGGTTGATTACTAAATCCTTGTTCATCGAGTCTACACACAAGAATGGCTCATCGCTTATACCGGAAATATGGAAAATACTACTACCAATCAAGTCAAGAGGTGGGAAATAATGGAATTATATAAACGAAGTTAGAAACTTGTGTGATTACCTTGATATGATTATGATCAATAAATTGTGCTCGAAACGTGATCATCAGTAAATATTACCGTATAAGACTGCGAGTCTTTATCGAAATTAATTTTACTCACAGTAGGACGAAAAAGTGAAATTGCTTTTGATTTGTCAAGTTTCCGAATCACTTCTTAGCCGCAATACGAGTGCTTGTTGTTGCTCGAACGTTTAAAACTGCTAACAGCCATTCTGTGTAATGCATTTTCGATGTCTGATGATGGAAATTAATAGTGGCGTTTGTAATCATTAATTCAATAATGATATGTCCACTGAGAGGTAAATTAGTTTTCATTCGCCACTAGTTTCGTAGGAAGGGGAATGAATTATATATTTGCAAAACACAGAATTGTTTAAAAACTTCACTTATTGTTTCATCTGAAACTCTCATAATCAGTATATTTTTGAATGAATACATACCGGATAAGTTGAATTTCACTCCTGAAACTTAATGACAGTTATTCTTCTTTCAGTTAGATTATGTTCTTTAAATTTTACAAAACAAAAATAAGAATTTGTTTGAAAGTAGGAAATTAGATATCACTTCTGTTTACTCAGACTTTGGTGAAAACCAAAAGAAAGTAAACACTTAGGTAAAATCATCGTCTTTCAAACGTTTAAAAACATATACTGAGTGGTGAATGATGTTTATTTATACTGTTTATGAAGTCATCACTTTGATCATCTAGACATGTTTTGTAAGTACTTTTAACATGGTTCTGTCAAAACTGAAGTAGACCTAGTACTTAGATTTCATGAAAACCAATGTCTTCAGTCGTATTATGGTTTCCTAGAAATATTTGGAGTAATTAAACTTAACGCAATTCGGTGGATTTGGTTGTGCGTTGGTGGTATAGCGGTTAGGACGCTCGCCGACCATGCACATCGTCTGGGGTTTGATCCCCGGCCGACTCACTCCTTTACCTCGCTGAGCCAGAAATTATGCTGGTAAAGAGGAAAGGTTAGGCATGAAGCTAGCCCCCCATCCTGTAAAATAAACACTGCTACAGAAACTTCAAGTCACTAGCTTGAACCCTATGTTCCACTGGGGAACGTGAAGGAAAAAAAGATTTTGACTAGCAGTGGAATCCATTTCATTCTATTTGATTATTTTCGATTTACAGCTTGATTCCACACTGTATTTTTGGTACAAGTATGGAATTTTCAGCATGGATATCGGTAGCCCAAATTTTGCAGGCCGACCATAGATTTCAGGTATGCGCCGGCGTGGGCTCGAACCCCGGACCATGTGCATGGTTGGCGAGAGTCCTAACCACTGTGCCACCGACGCACGATACTCGTCAACTGGGTCTACCTCCACTCCTCGATGAGTAACACTAT